TTTTATTAAATAAATTAGAAAAATAATTAGGCTTGCAGTATACCATTTTTGTGATTGCTCTAATATTGACATTAACTTTTATTTATTTCTCTGTAAAAGCTTTTCTTGCTATATGCAATATTTCTATTTCATCTTTCCTAGCCTTCTATATCACATATGCAATTAAAAATCTAGGCTAGATCTCATGGTCCTTATTGTTTGGTTAGTTTTTTTCTTAACGGAGGGCAAAGTTTTTACTTTGTAATTGGGTTGGAAACTAAATTAATTTGTCTGAAGCATGCTAGCAGAGAGGTGTGTGTGTGTGTGTGTGTGTGTGAGTACGTTCATGCATGTGTATGGTGGGGGAGGGTATGCTATGAAAGTAATTTGAGAACCTTGACAAACTTTGTCTTTTGAATTATCTACAACTCTAATCTGAGGATATAGGAAAAAACTAATGTTTTTTCTATTCTCTCAACAATCAACACAGAAGACTCCTGTGACCTCCGGTCACCAAAAAGTGTATGGGGATTTCTTTGCACCAAAACCAGTGAGTCAGTTCTGTAGTGGACATCAGCTGGGTGTCCTTTAATTAAATTTCAGTTCTGACACTATCTACCTGGAAGTAGTGTCAGATCCCATAGGTTGAGGGCTCGGTCCCACAAGACAACCCCCTACTTCGAATGCCAATTGCAAGCCCAGGTTGTTTTACCTATGCTTCAGACCAACTGGCTATAAATTGGGCTCCCACAACCCTCTCTTTGGGTTAGATTAATTTGCTAGAGTGGCTCACAGGACTCGGAGAAACACATTTGCCAGTTTATTATAAAGGATATTACAAAGAATACACATGAAGAGTTGCATAGGGTGAGGTATAGATTAGTGGCCCTCTCCAGACACACCACCCTCTAGGAACCTCCACGGGTGTTCAGCTCTCTGAAACCACACACACCCACCCTTGCAACCCAGTCCTTTTGGGTTTCTGTGGAGGCTTCATTACTAGGCATGATTGATAAAATCATGGCCGTTGATGATTGGCTTAAATTTCAGCCCCTCTCCCTTCCCTAGAAGTTTGGGGGTGGGGCTGAAAAGTCCCAACCCTCTAATCCTGTCTTGGTCTTTCCTGAAACTGGACCCCATCCTGAAAGCTACCTAGAGGCTGCCAGCCACCAATCAACTCATTAGCAGGCAAAAAGACATTTATCACTGTGGAGGGTTCAGGTTCAAGAATTTTAGGAGTTATATGCCAGAAAACAGGGTTAAGACCAAATGTATATTTCACAATATCGTATCCAAGAATTCCCCATTTTACTTCATGTGCAAGAAGCTTCTTTGATATTCATGTACACCAGTGGTGAGAAAACTTTTATTATAAAGAGCCAGATGGTAAATATTTTATGCTTCTTGGGCCACATGATCCCTGTTGTAGTGAGAAAGCAGCCATAGACAAATGGGATTAAATATAATAACAATGTAAACAAACGAGCATAGCTCCAGTACAACTTGATTGAAAAAAACAGACAGTATTTGGCCCATGGGCAGCACTTTGCCAACCCCTGGTGCAGACTGTTAAAAGACCAAGGAGTTGCCTACTTATTTTGGAGAAGTGGGAGACCCCTTGGTTCCAGACAAAAGAATTGTAGTGCCATAAATTGGTAAATTAATTTCCTCTCTCTTTCAAGGGAGAAATTGGTCCTTCTTACCCCCTAAGTAGACGCCCTTATCATAGAGTGAAGAGGTCCATGTTGCCTCTTCCCCTCGGTACATCATAACAAAATAGGTCTGGTAGTCACTCATTTTACTTCCTTGGATTGTGACCCTCTGGGGTATTAGTGATAGGAGGAGGAAAAATCATTAGAGCTTCCTGACCCTCAGTCTGTTGAGACTTAATGAAAGTCTTTAGAGAGTATAGAAATGCAGTGATAATTAGAATTATGATGTCACCAATGTGACAGTGATGTCAGAAGTACAGTAGTGCCTTGTAATGAGCCTAGCCATAACAATCAGAAGCAACCAGACATGGCTTCTTAACACACAAAACAACAGAACCAGGAGCCTTATACTAGTAACTATCAATGGTGAGTCCCCCTGCTGCAACCCATCAGTGGAAAGTGCTAGGGTATCTGGGGCTTAAGGATGAGCTATTTAAATCTTTCCCAGTGAGCAGGCTGGGCCTAAGACAAGAACCCTGGGGACCTCGGGGCTGTCAAAGGGTGTTTTTTCCTCACTGAAGTATTGGGTATTTCACAACTGGGTCCCTTTGACCTAGTAGGTGCTCAGCTTTTGGCACTTTTTGTTGCCTTGTAGGTTTTGTGGGCCTTCTTTAAAATTGATTTTTTTATATTAATAAACTATTTTTATAGGCATTTTAGGTTCACCATAAAATTGAACAGAAAGTACAGAGATCCCACATACTCCCTGTCGCCATACGTGTACAACCTTTTCAACCATCCCACACCACAGTGGTACATTTGTTTGTGGGCCTTTTTTTTTTTTAACTTTTTAGAAGTTGTCTTAAATAAGACATTTCTTTAAGAAAATGAAATGGTGAAAAACAGAATGGAGCTATCAACCTAACCTGTCCTTCCAGGAGGGCTGTTAAAAAGTAAAGAGTTGGATTCCTCTGGAGAGGGTTGTTTCTGCCAAGCTGATGGGGCTCAGGCTAGCTTTGCAAGTTGTCATGTACTTAGGGGCTAGGCTCCTCCACCATAGGGAGCTAGGACAGAGGGTAAATGACACCCACTGAAGTGTTTGCTCTTCTCCATTAGGAGGGTTGGGGGAGGCTGTCGTTCTCAAAGGGAAGGAAGTGTTAGGTTATCGGGGGTTTGCGATGTCCCCAGGAAAGACAGGGTTCCCTGGCAGACTGTGTTGCAAGAGATGAATGAAACAAAGACACGGAAACAGAAATAGTATTTAAGACAGCAGGGAAGTCAGGGGACCACCAACACTCTGGTGCCAAGGTGGCAGCGACTGAAACCCAGCACTTGCTTTTTATTGTCTTTGCCATGTTGCAAAATACAATGATCTTGTGAAAAAAATCACGGATACAATCATCAAGGGTTTCGGGGCTCCCCCCAAAATCACAAGGTGTACTAGCTAATTTCCTTCTCCTTTCTAGAAGTGAAAAACACATAATTCTTCAGTAGGTACAATCCTTTTGATCAAGGTAAACTAATTTTATCCCAAGCTCAAGCTATGTACACGGATATCAATCTCTAACTTCAGTAGCTATGACCCATTTGATCAAGGAACAAAGTAACTACATGCTTTCCACTGGGAGACTGGTTTTATATTAACTGAAGCATTGTTGAGAGAAAGGGAGAGAAGGAACTTGGCCCACTGTTCAAACAATGGAAGCTCTGAGACCCTTCTCCCAGGCTGACATATGGCAATCTACCTCTACAGCCGTGAGAAGTTTTCATGTCAGGCCACCCGTGGCTATTCATGCGTGAGACCCCTTAGGCTCTGAGGTTGGAGCATGCTTTGCTGTACTCCCAGATTGCTGATATATGTCCCCCAACTAGGTAGTTAACATCTGCCCTTATTTCAGGCTTCTGCTCAGGCAATTCCTTCACCTCCTATCCTCTCACAGCCTCAGACATAGCATTATTAAGTCCCAGTGGTCTTGATCTCATCATTAGGTGAACACACTTTGATCCTAAGGGTGACCCAGTCTAAAGGCCCAGGGCTAGTCAGTAGAGGTAGGAAGAAAGTGGGAGCTTGGGGGAGGAGAGCCTGGCTGGTGCTGGTCTCTCTCTGGCTGTAGGTGTGAAGGCACAGGAAAAGGAATCTTCTTCCACACTCCAGCACACTGACATTCTGGTGGCCTTTGGACTGTGAGATGGAAGTGAAACTTTATTTGCTGTTCATCACTCCAAATCATACCAAAAATATAAACACAGAACTATACAACTCTAAAAGCACTCTTTTAATGCTTTTTAAAAAATTCTTGAACAGGCAGTGGTAAATGAAGACACCCAAGGAAATGTGAGCCAGCTGCAAGCTGAAGTGAAGAGGCTCAAAGAACAACTGTCCCAGCTTACTTCAGGGCAGATACTACCGGAAAGCTTTCTGACCACAGGTATGATGAGTACAATGTCCTTTATCTTAGAGAAGACTGTGTACAAAGAATATTATTAAGAGCCCTCTGATGATAGTCACCACATAAGGCTACCCAAATTTTTCTATAAGTATCTCTTTCTGTTTGTTTACCTCTTTCTGTTTATTTCACCTATATAGTATGTTGTTTATAATCAGATAGAGATACCATAGGCACTGAGTTCTGTGAGATATGGTGGAAGGGGGAATTAAAGTAATTTTGAGTAGGCCTGATATGGTTGCTCAAGCCTGTAATCTGGCACTTTGGAAGGCTGAAACAGGAGGATCGCTTGAAGCCAGAAGTTTGAGACCAGCCTGAGCAACATAGTGAGACCCCCATCTCTACAAAAAAATTAAAAATTGGCTGGGCACAGTGGCATGAGCCTATAGTCGTAGCTATTCGGAAGGCTGAGACAGAGAGGATCACTTGAGCCCAGGAGTTCAAGGTTGCAGGGAGCTATGATCATACCACTATACTCCAGCCTAGGCAGCACAGTGAGACTCTGTCTCTAAAAAAAAAATAATAATTCATCCATAATAAGTGCTAAAAAGTGACTAATTTCATTTAGATCCACTTCTAAAATTCTGTTATAGTACATGTAATCCTATATATGTTTACTAAATAGCATGAGAGAGACTTCATTTTCTTCAAAGAATAGCTAGTAGAAAATGAATTAATTTGAAATCCTTAAAACCAAGAGGGTGAATTAGATCTCAAGAGGTGCACATCTAATTTTTTTTGATCCAGTTCTAATAATTCTGTCATGTATAATCTATTATGTATTAACTAAAAAGAAACTTATTTTTCTTTGACGAACAGCTAATATGTAGCTGGTTAATTTGAAGTCCACAATCTGCTGATGACAGTGTGGTTCTTTTAGATTAGTGGAAAGCAATCAATTAAAGGCTGTCTGTTTTAGTTCATCTCTTAGTTTTAAAATTTGAGAAATAAATATTTTTTTTCCCCTTTCCCTTTCTTACTGGATTGATCACAGACAAAGAGAAGACTGATTACGTGAAGTATTTCCAAGAGGCAATGTTGTTCTTTAAGAACTCTGAACAGGAAAAGAAGGTAGGAAACTGACTTAGTAATAAAGGGGATTCAAGATATTTTAGGGGCTGGGCGCGGTGGCTCGCGCCTGTAATACTAGCACTCTGGGAGGCCAAGGTGGGAGGATCCCTTGAGCTCAAGAGCTCAAGACCAGCCTGAGCAAGAGCGAGACCCCATCTCTACTAAGAATAGAAAAATTAGCCAGGTGAGGTGGCGCATGCCTGTAATCCCAGCTACTTGGAAGGCTGCAGCAGCAGAATAGCTTGAGCCCAGGAGTTTGACGTTGCTGCGAACTAGGCTGATGCCACAGCACTCTAGACCAGGTGACAGAGCGAGACTCTGTCTCAAAAAAAAAAAAAGATATTTTAGGCTTTCGCTATGTGGTTTTTGTTGTCTTAGTGCGTGAAATAAATGGCACCAGGTTAATAAATAAAGTAAAGGAGGATTGTGAAAAATCTAATTTTACCTTTAAGATTAAATTTTTTCTCTTTTTTCTAAATGTTCTCTCTCTTAGCAGTATCACTTTAAGATTAAATTTGAAGTTAGTATTTGTTGCTGGGTTTATGAAATTTTAGGGAAGCTGAATTACTTTTCATGTTTAACCAAATTATGAATTTCTTAAGTCTCTAATAGAAAAAATTACCCAATTAGAAGACCTCAACCTCAAAAAGGAAAAATTTATTCAATCTAATAAAATGATTGTGAAATTCCGAGAGGATCAAATAATACGCCTGGAGAAGCTCCACAAGGAATCCCGGGGAAGTTTTCTGCCTGAGGAACAGGATCGTTTGCTCTCAGAATTAAGGGACGAGATTCAAACTCTGCGAGAACAAGTGAGTACATGGCATTTGTAGTATTAATATTTCTAAAAATAAAAGAAGTTCAAAGCAAATATAAATTTGTCACAAAGTACTTATTCTTAAATACAATGGAAATTGTTTTATATGAATTCAACTGACAGTATGACTGTATAATTTCTTTTCCCCCCTTTTTCAAGATAGTTAAAGGGAGCAGAAGGGCAAAGGGAAGAAGTTGTGGTAATACTGATACACAGCACTCAACCCCAGCAAGCCAAGCGAAATTTCACCCCGATGAGCAGCTGTGGTTGTCTGAATCAGTAGTCTCTTTACAGAATTGAGCCTTTTAAAGTTTGTTGTTGTTGTTGTTGTTGTAGTGGTTCTTCCTTTTCCCTAGGGAGGATGGATAGGTAAAATAGGCACATTGTGGGGGGAAAAAAAACCAAATCTGTTATCCATTTTTTGTGTATCTTTCCAGAGTTTTTAAAGCATATTCAAACTATTATGGATACATATTTTTACTTTTATTTCTCTTGCACACATTTCTGCACCTTGCCTCTTTCAGCTCATGTATCTTACAGGGCAATTTAACCTTAGTCTGTGGTTTCCTTCTGTTTGGTGTGTTGATTTAACCAAACTCCTTTGCATGAAAAGTCAGCCATAATGTACACCCCTGTGCTTATCTCCTTAGGTGCCTAGGTGAAAGTTTCAAGGGTCTGGACTCCAACTTAGAATAGCAGAGTTGTAGGATATTCATATTTTCAATCTGATCACAAATGCCGAGTTGCTTTCCGCAGCAGTTGCAGCATGATACCACCAGTAGTGCCTGAAGTTTTCTAATGGCTTTTTAGAGAGACTAATTACTAAGGAAATGTTTGTAAATATATAATGTATGTAACTATTCTCTGTTTACAGATAGAGCACCACCCCAGAGTTGCAAAGTATGCTATGGAAAATCATTCCCTTAGGGAGGAGAATAGAAGACTTCGATTATTAGAGCCCGTGAAAAGAGCCCAAGAAATGGATGCCCAGACCATTGCAAAACTAGAAAAAGCTTACTTAGAAGTGTGTGGCACAGAGAAAAATGATAAAAGTAAGAAATGATTGTTGTATGCATGCATTGTAAAAAGGGGCTAATTTTTGTTTTTTTTTAAGAGACAGAGCCTCACTCATCACCCAGGTTGGAGTGCAGTGGCGCAGTCATAGCTTTAGCCTCCCAAAGCTCTGGGATTACAGGCATGGGCCACTGGACCTGGCCAGAAGGGGCTGTTTAAAAAGCATGTGTAGTGCCTTGCAGTTAGAGTCTTTGTTTTAGCCTCCAGACCCGCTATGCTACTTTCTTAAACACATACTTATTCTTTTATGGTATAAAAAGGCATTTACTAAACTTTTTTTTCTCAAAAATCACAGAATAGTAAATTATGTAGGCTAATAGACATAGCAAGAAAATACTGATATTTCTCTATTTTATTGACAAAGATTTATTCAGTTATTACTTTTAATTTTTATTAAATGGAATTTTCCTGTTTAAAATATTTGAAATGGAAAGTGCTTAACTAATCAAACATGAATAAATGTAGAAGTTGAAATGTTTAATCAGTGTGGCTAAGGGCTGTACAATGTAAGAGATGTCAGAGGGGTCAGACTCACCATCCACCCAGCACAGTGTTTTAGTCCTTGTGTTGTGGCTACCAATGTACGCAGTCTGTTAGTTATACGCTATTTTCATGAGATTGCTTTTACTCTATGAAAGGGGGTTTGGTAAGTACTAATTCTAACTTACAGGCTTGGCAGCTATTGGTGTTAATTCCCTGGAATTTGGTAACAAAGTCTGTGTTTGCCTCATTCTTAGAGTTAGTATTTTAATGGTCTTTTATCATACTCATTCTCATCCTTTGTTTCTTGTTAGGTTGAAATCTCAAACATTCTAATCTTTTTATTCTGCATTCATAAAGAACGCCATCTTTTTGCTTTTAAAATTTTCCTTTTCTAAGCCTTCCATTGTGTTATGACTAAATGAAAGAATGAGATGAATTCACGTATTTGGGTTGTAGAGAGACTAAGGTTTTATTTTTTATTATTATTTTTTTTATTTTTTTAATTAGAAAATATTGAGGTGGGGTACAAATATTTTTGTTGCATGGATGCCTTGTGTGATGCTTAAGTTGGGGCTTTTAGTGTGCCCATCACCAGAATAGTGTTCATTGTATCCAATAGGTAAGTTTTTACCTCTCAATCTCTACTCCCCTCCCCCATTCTTGGTTTCCAGTGTCCTTTATATCTCTTTATACCCATCATTTAGCTCCCATGGTGTTTGTTTTTCTATTCCTGAGATACTTTACTTCACTAAAGATAATGGTCTCAGGTTCCATCCAAGTTGCTACAAAAGACATTATTTCGTTCCTTTTTTATGGCTGAGTAGTACTCTGTGTTACCTGTATACCACATTTTCTTCATCCACTCATGAATTGATAGGCACTTAAGTTGATTCCACATCTTTGCAATTGTGAGAGATCAAGATTTTAGATGCAAAGCTAAGATTAGGTTTTCTGTTTTATTTCAGCTACTTTTCCCTACAGTGCTCTGCATTTTGTCGACCATATTGGCCTCAATAGTACCTTGACTTAACTACCTTCAAAAGATACTAACAGCAATTTTGTTTTTAACTCCATCAGTGTTTAAACATCTTTCATTCTCTAAACATCTTTTACATGATATATTCTAACGCCGAAACTAGGTGGACTCGCTTCAATGTATTCAGTCTTCTAAGCAATCCCTGAAAATTTATATTTTCTCCCTTGTAGATGATGCCATGTTCTTTCAACTTGCTGCCCTTGCAATTTGTTTCCTTTTCTAAATAGTTCATTGACTGTTAACATTAGCTGCTAGCACTAATTCCTGCAAGATTCAACTACCAATGTTTCTAGCATTATGCAAATTGTACTCCAGTCATTGCTTATTCCCCTAATGGAAAAGGTGTTGCCTTAAATTAACTATGCCTCTCTATCCTGTGGCCTCTCGGCTTTTTAAACATGACTTCCAATCCTCTTTGGTGGGCTATGTTATATCCTGTGTCTCTTGCTGAGTTATAAGCGCTTATATTTTAGGGCACACCTTCCAATCCATTTCTTGTTTTTCCTCATGGCTTAAAATTGATACCTGGCAGAGAACTTAGAAAACGTGTTGTTATTGTTATTTTTCAAAGACTAAGGTTGTAATGCTGGGCACAGTGGCATGTACCTGTACTCCCAGCTCCTTGGAAGCCTGAGTCAGGAGGATCACCTGAAACCATAGTCTGAGGCTATAGTAGGCTCTGATCATGCCTGCGAATAGCCACTACACTGCAGCCTGAGCAACATAACAAGACCCTGTCTTTAGGGGAAAAAAAAATAGACTGAGGTTGTTTCCTTATTATCAGGTCAACAAGGATTTTCTCCTAAAGCTCAGAAAGAGCCATGTTCATTCACAAACACTGAGAAGTTAAAAGCACAACTCCTGCAACTTCAGACAGAGGTGAATAATTCAAAGCAAGAATATGAAGAATTCAAAGAACTTACTAGGTAAAGTGTAAATACACATGCAATTGCACCTATTTTCTTTTAGTGTTCATTTGCTATAGTGTTAATATTGATCATTTAATTGGGCATTTTATTATAAATATTAAACTCTCATAGTAGCAACTATTTTGACATGAAAAAGGGCTCATTTCTAGCTCTTTAATAATATATTTAATGAGCTAGATGATACAAATGTTTTAAGCAATACTCTCCTGTTGAGATCAGTATCTATTGAACTCAAGTTCTTCATCTCGAATTCTTTGGTTGCTAAATTTAAATCACAGCTGTTATGAACTAAATCAAGATTTTTAGAAATTATAGGTTTATTAATATTCTTACTTGATTCTAATTGTGTAAAAGAAAACAAAGATAAATTACATTTATATTGCAACTAAGATTAATCCTACCGTAAAATAAAATGAAGTATTTGTTTTAAAAATAACATCACGTATGGTATCATCATGGACTATTTAGACTTTTGAATTTGAGCTCTACCATTTGCTAATTGAATGCCCTAAACAGTCATCAATCTCCAAGCTGTATTTTACCCAGTTGGAAAATGAGGGTAATAATCTGAGAACATACCTCTGATTTAAGAGATAACTATAAGGTTATTTGAAAGCAGAATCTGTAAATTACTCTACAAATGTTTGACATTACTTAATTACCTGAAATACTCAGTTTTACAATATCTCTTAGGAAAAGGCAGCTAGAATTGGAATCGGAGCTTCAGTCTTTGCAAAAAGCAAACCTTAATCTTGAAAACCTTTTGGAAGCAACAAAAGCCTGCAAGCGGCAAGAAGTTTCTCAGCTGAATAAAATTCATGCTGAAACACTTAAGGTAGGTAATGTGAAGCAATACTTGCATCTTAAATCAGTGCTATCTCATTTTATTAATAATGGACAGAATCTTCTTGATTTATCTCAAGCACAGAGCCCCTTGTAGGCAGTTAATACCAGGGTCACAGTGGTCGTAGTGTTCTGATGGCAGGGTGGAATAGGAAGGAAGTTAGCATTTGGAATCTAATTCTAATCTGCTAACCTTAGGCCAGGTTTCCTAACCTCTGAACCTTATCATTCTTTTCTCTAAATTGGGGGTGAAGGTAATTTAATTGCAGGTTTCTAGAGCAGTAGATGAGATAATTGATAAAGTGCCTGGAACCTGGTAGATCTCAGTAAATGGCAGCTGTTGCTATAATGTGACATGTGCTGAAAGCTTACACTAGAAGAATAGAAATCCTAGATCACAGGTGACAGTGGGAATAACAGGAGAAGGTTTTTCTCCCCCTAAATAACCATATCCCTCATAAAAGAGGAAAATGTGTGAATATCTAAGGATGGGGAGAGAGAAAGGGAAATATATAAGGAAAGTAAAAGGATGAGGAGTTGATGCTGATGATGGTGATTTTAACTTTTGTATCAAATTCTCTGAAGGTTTAAAAAAACTTTAGTTAGCCAGGTATGGTGGCCCACGCCTGTAGTCCCAGCTACTCATCAGGCTGAAGTGGGGAGATTGAGCTCAGGAATTCAGGTCTAGCCTGGGCGACATAGCAAGACCTCATCTCTTAAAAACAACAACAACAGGCCGGGCGCGGTGGTTCACGCCTGTAATCCTAGCACTCTGGGACGCCAAGGCAGGTGGATCGTTTGAGCTCAGGAGTTTGAGACCGGCCTGAGCAAGAGTGAGACCCCGTCTCTACTAAAAAAATACAAAGAAATTATCTGGACATCTAAAAATATATATAGAAAAAATTAGGCAGGCATGGTGGCGCATGCCTGTAGTCCCAACTGCTCAGGAGGCTGAGCCAGAAGGATTGCTTGAGCCCAGGAGTTTGAGGTTGCTGTGAGCTAGGCTGACGCCACGGCACTCTAAGCCAGGGCAACAGAGTGAGACTCTGTCTCAAAAAAAAAAAAATCTTTTTGTTAGCATTTTTGGACAGTAAATATGTACAGACTGAGAAGACACATATGGTTGTTTCATAGATTGGTTATTGTATTTTTTAAAAAAGTGGAGTCATCCTACATATGTTATTCTGCAATATGGTTTTGTTAACTTGGGATTATGCCTTGGATCTTTCTACGTAACTAGTACCTAGAACACCACCTCATTTTAAACCTAGGCTTCTGTGTTTTGGATGACTCATGGCTTATTTAGATGGTTTCCAGCGTATGCATTCTCTGGGGTAGCTTCTGTTAAAGGAGAAATTGTAGTCTTAGGGTGCTTTCGCATTTGAGCCAGTCCTGCTGAAGTTCTCTCCTGGGAGCTGCACCATGTGCCTTCCTAGGTATGGATACACTTCTTTCCCTGCACTGTCCCTTGTAACTGGCATTGTCAGGCTCTTTAATGTTTGATAATCTGATGAGTGAAAAATGTTATGATTTTAATTCTTATTTCCCTCATTTCTAGTGAGGTCAAATAATCATTTCATACATCCATGTCCATTTGTATGTCCTTTTCCTATTGGATGTTTGTCTTTTTCTTCTGATTTGTAAGAGTTTTTTTTTGTTTTGTTTTGTTTTTTTATTTTTA